AAAGTTGGTTCTGGCTGGATTATCAGCAGCTGGGACAAAAAAGCAACCCTGTCAACCCAGTCCCCTTCCTGTTTGGGAGAGCTTCGTGCTTCCCTGCAGCATCCCTGATGAGCTGAGCTGTGTCAGATCTCAGCCAACATGGAGGCAGGCCAGCTGGCCAGCTTCCCCAGTCTCTCTTGCAGCTGGATCGTCCATCCCCCCTCCAAAAATTTCACCCCAGGCCCTTGAAGAAGCAGGCAGCAAGGTGGGGGTCCAAGAAGTGTCCCAAAGGACTGCCAGGCTGCTCAAAGATGAGCTTAAGCAGCTGGGAAAATCCCAGAGAAGTAAAGTGGTGACCAAGGGAGGAGGCAAAACCCCCATCAGCCCCTATCGTGGAGACGGCTGAAGAGTTGGCTGTGGCCTGGCTCGTCTGCAGCAGCTGTCGAAATACAAAGAGGGGGAAAAACATGCCTGTCTATGACATGGCTTGTCCCCACTCCTGCCCTGCGACTGAAGGCATGACTTATTTTTCTGGGTTAGAGGAAAATTTAGGAGTCTCCTGGTCAGTGAGTCCCTAGGGTGCTCCCAACTACCAAGTGGCTGGATGGAGCTGTTCTGGAGAGGTGCTGGAAATGCTGGGATCATGGTTGGCAGCACTGCCAGCCAGTGGAGGCACGGCACAGACACAAGACATAGCCAAGGTGCCAGAGCACGTCTGGCCATGCTGCTGCCCTGTGCAGGGTGAAGGCTGTGATCCGAGATGGGTGGGAAGTGCCAGAGATGCAAGGCGAAAGCCGCCAAGATGGAGGCAGGCACAAGCTTTGCTTTTACATTGGAATGCAAGGAGCTGAAAATATTCCCTCTCAGTTAACTAATAAAAAAAGCCGTCTTGTTTTGCAAAGGCACATTGCGAACATCTGCAGGTTGTGGAGTTCCCAAAAGGGGGAAGAAACTTCTCCCTGTTGGAGCAGGCCCTGGGGGGAGGATGCAGAAGATGCACAGAGAAATTGGTGTGCTTGGGCTCACAAGCCCAGGGAGTGATGGATCTGCAGGGCTCACCTTCCAAACAAAAAAAAGGAAGGAGGAGCAAAAGAGGGTATGAAAAGCAGTTGGTGGGAACCAAAAATAATTGCATGGCTTTGCAAAAAGTTACCAGTGCAATTAAAAGTGCTTTAAGCTTTTTGGAGGAGAAAGAAGGAAAAGAAGAGGTAAATAAAATGCCATGGGGCTGCATTGCAGGGTAGCATGGAGGGAGGTACAGACATTGCTTCTGGGGATCTGCTGCAGGGGTACTGGGGGCTGAACAAAGCCTGATGTGTCAGGAGCTGGGCATATGGGCCAGCGGGGAAAAGCAGTGGAAGCAGGAGCCCTGGAGGAAAGTGTCACAGCCTTACAGAACTCACAGGAGAGTTCCCGTGTTGGGTGTGGGACCTCACATCCAGGCTGTGCTGGGCACTGTAAGGGCACAGGAGGGATCTCTGTGCCTCCCACTGCCACCAACCTCACCAGTACTGCAGGAAACTGAGGCACAGGGAGGTAAAGCCTGGGAATGAGCTGTGGTATTTCTGCAGATCAGCTGTGACCAAGCTGAGTGATCTGGACCCTTCTCAGGGGCTAGAGGTTCAAAGCAGCCACCTTCCAGCTTTGGCATTTCCCTGCTCTCCCAGAGCAATGTCAGCTCCTCAGGGGGCAAGTGGGAGAGCCCTGCACACACACCAGCAGAAGAGCCATCATCCCCAAAGTGCCACCAGCTCTTGTGCAGACCAGGAGCCACAGCCACTCAATCCACGTCACTCCAAAACTCAGCACAGAGGGTGCTGGGGAAGCCACTGCACAGTGGGTTGGGTGGTCACAGGGCAGAGCCCACACCAGCCACATCCCTGCCCTTGGGGAATCATAGTTCAGTGGTAGCCAGTGCACTTTTTTGGGGGTACAAAAAACATCCCACTGCCTCAGCTTCTCACCTGAGTCCACCTGGCTGCTCCTCTGTCGCTTCCCCACCACTGTCAGGCCCATTGCCCAGAGCTGCTGGAGCAGAGGAGCTGGTTGCAATGAGACACAGCTGCTCCGTGCAGGTGGCAGCAGTGTCCTGGCCTCCCAGGAGCCCTCATAGGCTCAGGAGAAGGCAGGCTGGGAGGGCTGGGTGTGGTTTGGGATAGGGGGCCCTCCCCTTGCTCAGGTGAGAGGAAGTGGTGGGGAGAGGAGGAGCAGAGGGTGAGCAGGCATGGCTGCAGGCTGGGAGCAGCTCCTGGCCTTTCTGGGCTGGTTGCCCCCAAGGTGAGGAGGTACTGAGCTTCAGCAGCCATCCAGGTGATGGGTGGGGAGTGTGGGTGTGCAGGGTGGGAAGGTTGTGCTGCTTGCTGGGTGAGTGGGTGGGTGGGAGCCTCTGGGGTGACCCAGCTTGCTGCCACCCAGGAGCAGAGCAGGCTGGTGGTTGCAAAATATTTTGGGTATTTGTGGGGAGGCTTTTTAGCTGAAGAGGTGTATATGAGCTGTGTTGTTTCCATGGGGGAGTGATACCCCCTTAGTGGTGAAGTGCTGTGATTCCACTGTCCCTGGAGCTGAGGGGGAGGATGCCCTGTTCTTCTGTCAGGCTTATTTGTTGAATATGGCCCAGCATTCTTGGGCTGGCTTTGAAAATGCTTTCTCCTGCCCTGTCCCACCTATTAAACTCTCTCCAGAGAGTAACTTAGTCACCATCTCCCTTAGTCTTTACTCTATCCATAGTAGGGCTAGGGACTGTGAAAAGCCTGAGCCCCTTCTCTCTGCTCCCAGCCTGTCTCTAGCTTTCCCAACTGAAGCCCCCAGGGTTAAAAGTGAACTGAAAACCCCACCAGAGCTGTCCTCTTTCCCCTGCCCCAGATCTGGGGCTGAATGCATCCCCAGTGATGTGCAGACAGATGCCTGGGGAGGGGGCAGCTGCCCATTGAGGCTTCTGGAGTGTGATGTCCCATGGAGGGGATGCTGGCTCCGTAAAGTGGATGTGTCTCTGACTGGAGGCGCTCAGCAGCGTGTGTCGCTGGGTGGCTGCAGTGCTGTGTCAAGCCTTTGCACCCTGTGTTCGCTGTGAAGGTGCCACTCAGTGTGGGGCTGTTCTTGGAGACTCTTTCCAAGCCCCTACCTGTATCTCAATGGGCCATGCAGGCTTATCTGCCTGGGATTTTTCTGTCAGGTCTGTCTTAGTGTATACCCCAGCAGGAGCCCAATAGTGCTGCCCTGAGCATCACAGCCAGCCCAGTTATTTCTTGTCTCCAAAAATCCCCCTTCTGCAGCTGGGAGCTCTCTTCTGTTTGCTGCCAGGCCCTGCGGCACAGCAGGGAAGGCAGTTGGAGGGCTGCCCACCCCGGCAACGCTGCCCAGGAAAGCTGGGCTCAGCAGGTTGGTGTGTGGCCCCATGACCGTGGCCCTGCTTGCAGCAGAGCTGATGAAGGCACCGAAGTTTCGGGAGCTGGCTGGCATTTCCCTGCCCTCCGGGGGAGTTCTGGGCTTTGGGCTTATTCCTGGCTGTCAGGGAGAGGTGGGGGGAAACAGGACATGGAGACCACCTTCCTGAAGGGATGGCTGGGAACAGGACTGGGCTGAGCCCGTACCAAACGGACCGGAGAGGCTGGGTGCCTGCTGGGGCAGAGGGCTCATCGGGTGGCACCTGCTTGCCCTCATCCCTTTGGGTAAGGAACCAGCTCTCACCAGTCACCCCTTGGGCTGGGTATGCACTGGGGGCTGTGCTGAGAGCCTTCAGGGGCATCATGCTGTTGGCTTATCATGCTGCCAGCACAAAAGGCTTCCTTTAATTCATCCATGATCCTTCTGCAGTGTCCTCATCCACTCCTTGGGGCAAGGTGGGGTGTGGATCTGGCAGCTTGGGAAGCTGGGCTCTGCCTCTGCAGCTCCCAGCCTCTGATGCCATGCACTGCCACCAGCACTGTTGTCCTGCTGATGCTGAGTGCTGAGCAAACAGAGCCAGAAGCTGGGACCAACGGCCAGCACCCTAGTGTAGATCTGTGAGGAAATACTCCAGGGATTTCAGTGTGTTGAAGAAGGTGGCCACAGGAGGTGGGGCTGCATGAGAGCTGTTTGGAGCCTGCGTGTCACCTCGTCTAGCTGGAGGCATGGCTGTGCTGTAAGCCCCAGCATGGACTGTGCTAATCTCCGGCTTTGCATCTCTGCTCCAGAAGTGAGCAGCTGGAGGACGTGAGTGGGCGAGGGGATGAGCAGGAAGCAGGCAAGGCTTTCCTTCCACTTATCCTTGCTAAAGAAAACCAGGAGCCATGCAACCTCAGAGTGCAGCAGTGCCTTGCAAAAACAGTGCTGCACAGCTGTCTGGGTGTCCTGCAGCCAGCAGAGCCCCTTTCTGGGATTCCCTGGGAAGAAGGATGACAGTGACGGGGGCCAAGGCATAGAGACTGGAGAGTTCTGGCTTTACAGGAGCCATGTCTGCCTGATTTGGCAACGCCTTGGTGGGACACCTTCCCCTCTGAGTGGGAAATGTTAAGTTTGGACTTTGCTCAAAGTGAGCATGTGGTGTGTGTAGCAGCTCCTTGGACTTCCCACCTCTCTGTCCTGAGATTTTTGGGGTTTGTTGGGGTTTTTTTGTTGTTTTGGTGGTTTGGTTTTGTTTGGGGTTATTTTAGGCTACTTCAGGGCAGGAGGTCTCCTGCCAACCCAGTTCTTGTTTGAACATGATGCAAAGTGTTGCTGTGAGGTGATATATTTGCCCTCCCAAGGGGCAAATGTGATTGTGCATCCCAGTGGCAAAGTTCTCTCCCCTTTGAGCTGGGTGCAATAACTAGTGCTCTGGCTTCTGTCCTCTCTTCTGGTGCTCACAGAGGCCCTGGCTGATCTCCATCAAGGCCCTTCATGTGTTTGCCTCAGTTTCCCTAGAGCTTTACCTGCCCCTCTGATGGGGCTGTGTTTGCAGCTGTGAAATGACTCTCTTAGAGTAAGCCCCCATTGCATTTAGCTGCTGGAGCCCTCTTCCCCCACTTGAGTCTATTCTTGTCTCTCATTTGCAGTCTCAGACAATGAACTACATGGGGCAGCTTGCTGAGACCGTCTTTGTCACGGTGAAGGAGCTGTACCGGGGCCTGAACCCTGCCACCCTGACAGGCTGCATCGATGTGGTGGTGGTGAGGCAGCCCGATAACTCCTTCCAGTGCTCCCCATTCCACGTGCGCTTTGGGAAGCTGGGTGTGCTGCGCTCCAAGGAGAAGGTGGTAAGTGGTGCATGCCCTGGGACCGTGCTTCCTCTCTGGTGTCTCCAGATTTAGGATCTTCCTAACTGGTCCCCTCCCTGGGGAAGAGCCGTTCTGCACACCAATGAGTGAATGGGCTCAGATGGACAGGCTTCTTCTGCCCCTTGCCAGGTTGACATTGAAATCAATGGGGAGCCTGTGGACTTGCACATGAAGCTGGGTGACAACGGAGAGGCCTTCTTCGTCCAGGAGTCGGAGGAGAATGAGGTTGGTGGTGAAGCGGTGCTGCAGGTCTGTGCCCTCCTGTGATCACCTGGAAGTGCAGGGTTGTGGTGGGAGGGCCAGATTTGGACTGCTCTTCTTCCCCAGGGTGACTCCTTTATCCCCTCTGTTTTGTGTGTCCTATCTGCAGCCTTTGTGATTTTGGTCTCGTGGTGCCATCTCCTGCCTGCTTGTCCTTGCCCACATTAAAGATGTCTTTAGCTTGTGGCTGGATAGCCCTGCCTTTTTTATTCACGTGTTGTATGTACAAAACCTTTCTTTTTGGGCCTAGCCACAAAACCACTCCCAAGTTGAGGGCTCGGTGACACTGGTTATGCTGATGGCGTCTATTGCATAGATGAGAGCTGTGAGCTGGAAAAGAAGCTGGAGCTGACAGGCTCTTCCCATTGCTGTTGCAGGGCAGCATCCCCCCCTGCCTCTGCACATCCCCCATCCTCATGGAGCAGAGTCCCGAGGATGCCACTCAGCCCTCTCATGGGCAGGAGGCCTCCAGTGCTGAAGTGGCCGTGCACAAGAGGAGACGGCGCAGGAAGAAGCCCAAGCAGAAGGAGGTTTCGGATTCTGAGTTAGGAGGCTGTGAGGAGACCAGCAGTGAGACCAGCACAGAGGAGCTGTGCAAGCTGCCAGCCCCCAGGTGAGCTGCTCGGTCTGGGCAGGGTGATGTGGTAGGTCAAGCCTGTAGGTTTGCTTGGTGATGCCCAGCAGTACTGAAACATGGGGGAAAGGTTTCCAAGCTGGATCCCAGCCTCCTGTGGAGTAGGAAGCCAGTGGAAGTGGTGAAGTTGGGTATTGCCAGCTTTCCAGGAGAGGAGACTGGTGCCTGAAAGTAGCATAACTGCCCTCTTCCTTCCTTTACAGCAATTCAGTGTATTTCACCTTTACTGATCTCCCTGAAGAAGAAACTGCATCATTGCCATCTTCAGAAATGCACCCTTACTCTGATGGGGAGCTGGCCTCTTTGGACAGGTAATGGGCAGAGTCAAGGTGATCTGCTCGGCTTTGGTGAGAGCAAGAGATGTGCCTTGTGGCTGGAAGGTGGTGAGGAAAAGGGATTTGGGGGTGTTGGGAGAGGAGGGCTTTCCTGGCCTGGTATGGTGTGGCTGGAGGAAAGCTTGGAGCCCAGGGGAAACACTTCTGACCGTGGTCACAGATGCAAGAAGCCTACATGCACAGGGCTCTCCTGCTTCTGCTGCTGAGCTGCTCTGGACAACTGGTGGCATAGCACTTTGCCTCCTTGGGCCTCAGTTTCCCACGGGTCTTTCCTTATTTGTAAGTGTTAGTTTTATGGGGCAGAGCTGACTCTATGGGAAACCAGGGCTATAGGACTCTTGGCCTTAAATAATAGAGCTATAGGACTCTTGGCCTTAAATAGCCTTGCAGTGATAGGAAGGCATGGGGCTGTAGAGTAGATGAGGTCCCATGTTGCCTTCTCTTCTTGTAGCCCCACCCTGAGCCATCCATCTTCTCCCAAAAGTGACTCTGAGCTGGAGATCAGACCGCAGGAGAGTTTTGCTCTAGGGGCTGACTCCCACATGCAGTGGACATGGGGAAGGCTCCCTCAGGTGAGTCTCTGCTCTTGCTCTTCTCTAGCAGCTGGGGGGAGGAGAGTGTCTGCAAGGCTTGCAGAAAGGGGAGGAGGCTGTGGCCAGACAGCCCTAGAGTTGTCCTCTTTCTGCCTGATGCTTTGGGCAACTTCCTGTCCTCAAACCTGTTGTTCTGCTTTCCTTGAGGTGAATAAATCAGAAGGACTTGAGCCAGCCAAGTCAACAAAGGCCATTGCTACTGCAGCAACCACTATCTCTGCAACACTAGTCCCAGTGGATGAGTCAACCCATCTTGTTGCCACCTCTGAAGGTCTGGGAGGAGGTCCAAGCCCAGCAGGACCTCAGGGCATAGCTTGTTCCTCTGCTGTGTCTGTTGTTGAGCCAGCACCTGCATCCTTGTATGGAAATGGCCTCCTCAGGCTGAAGGACACCCCCAGTGCTGTGGGGGCAGAGAGCTGCTTGGAGGCCTCCTCAGCCCCACAAGAGAAGCAGGAGGGAGGCAGGATTGTTGTGCCAGAGGTTCAGCCAGATGTGGACCCCTCTGAGGGAGCTGCTGCTCTGAGGCAGGTGGGCTCAGAGGACCCTAAGCCCCAGCTGGAAAGCCAAAGGAGACCAGGTGAGTGGGTGACTGGTGCTGCTGGAAGCAGTGTTTGAGCCTGCAGATGTCTGACTGGATGAGGGGCTGGGTTATAACTCCATGACTACTCTGGGTAGTCAAGGTATGATGTGTTTGCTTTGCCCTCTCCATGTGCCACCAGCTCCTTTGCTTTGAACAGACATTCCTCAGGTTGCCTCCTTTTGGTGAGCACCCAGCTCCCCAGGAAGATTTCTTGCCTTGTGTTTTCTGAAGCCCACCCTTGGATGTCTCTGCTTTTGCATGTTTAGAAGATTTCTCAGCAGTGTAGACCATAACTTAACTTGGAAGTGTCTGGCAACACCTGGCCTGACTTGTGTCATCATCCTGAGCATACCAAGTCAGGTGGAAAATCACGCAGAGCAAAGCATGCATACATCTCTTTTGACAGTGTATTTGAGGATTTTTTTGTTGTTACTTGTGCTAAGCAACTTCTAGTCTTCCAGCCAGCATAAATTCAGAACAAAATTATCTCCCTGAAGAAGAGACACTTGGGAATTCCTCATTGTAAAAAGAGGAAGAACACAGTGTTATCTTGGATATTGCTAACTTCAAACAGCACCTTCAGATTGTGATAGCAGAACATAGGCAGGACTTTGGGCTGTCTTTTGTGTCCTTTTGGCATGTGGTCTCATGCCAGTGCAGATGTCTTGAGGTACATCTGTTGCAGTTGATTTAAGGTAGGAAAAGAGATGCCCCTTGTGTAATATACAAATATGATACAAGATAATGCAGTTAGCTTGTTCGATAAATGCTGAGATGGTTGGAAAAGTGATTTAGCTAAGTTCTCTCCCTTCTGTCTGTGCATTGAGGATCAATCAAAAGAAGCCCTCATCTGGGTCCCAGTGACGTTTACCTGGAAGACCTCTCCACCCTGGATGAGAAGCAGGTGGCTCTCTATTTCCCCAGGAGGTATGGGTTGCCCCAACTGGCCAAGCTCAGACTTTCTTGAGCAATTCCCTTGCAGCAAAGGATGGAGGTATATCTAAAGCTACTGCCTGATGTTGCCACTGTTTCTTCTCTTGCCAGTAGTGACATGGAGCAGAGCTTAAAGCTTGTGGCAGACCCCTGCGACCCTCTGTGTGTCCAGCCGCCATCTGACTTGCCTGCCGACAGCCCCCCCGACTCTGATTTGATGCCCACAATTGCCCTGTCACTGTGTGGAGGACTGGGGAGCAACGGGCAGATCTCTCATGGTAGGTGGGAGCGAAGGGGGAGTCTGCTGTCCTGAAACCCTTTCTATACACATTATATACACCAGTGACATGACAGTGCTTCTGTCCCACCAGAGAAGTTCAAGGAGCACATGGTCTCCTACCAGCAGTTTGCTGAGAATCCGGGACTCATCGATGACCCAAACCTGGTGATACTGATCAACAAGAAGTGAGTGGTCTGCTCTTCCTTCTGCTTTATCCCAAGATGACCTGTGTGGCCCCATTTGTCCCTACAGAAACTGCTTTAGTGACTCCATGTCGTACAGTGATTACACAGCAGCAGCTGTGGGAGGGACCTCCTGGCTGTGCCACAGGGTGGTAATATTCCCATCCCTCTTGCTTCTTCCAGGTATTACAACTGGGCAGTGGCTGCTCCCATGGTCCTGTCCCTGCAGGCTTTCCAGAGGAACATTCCTGAGGTCAGTGGCACCACACATTTACTGGCTGTGCTTCTCAGCAGGGCTTGAAGAGTGCAGTGGGGCTCCAAGAGGCCATGCTGGGCATCTGGAGCTTTGTGGGCAGTCTAGGGCAGAGCTGGACACTTTAGATACCTGGGTACCATGGAGTCCTGGAGAGCAGTCACACATTATCCTGTGAATAATTTTGCCAAGGAAATCCTGCCTGGGCAAGGGTCATCTTAACCTGTTGGCAGCTGAGCCTCCTTGGACGGAGGACTGACTTCATTCCATGTCCTCACACATTCACAGAGCATCATCAACCGACTGGTGAAGGAGAAGATGCCCAAGAAAGGCAGCAGGTGGTGGTTCTCCTGGAGGAGAAGAGAATTCCCAGGGGAGGAGGTATGTTTTGGCAATGGCTGTGACAAGTGTCCCCAGGGGACAGACATCCTTCTGGTGGCTGACAGATGGGGGTAGGAGAACAGCAGGGTCCTGGGGATGGCCTGAGGCTAAGTATGAGGGACCTGTTGGCAAGGTGACTTCTGAAGGTTGCTGCTGTCCCCTCAGGTCTGTTAATGCCTGAGCAGCACAACACCTGGCAATGTGGTGATGTGGACCTTGTAATGGTGACATGTGCCCCTCATGCCACAGCTTAGGGACCATGTGTGCTTGCTGATCTCCATGCCCCACTCCAGCACCAGGCTGTGGTCCCTCTTCCATGGGGCAGTGTCCTTATGGAGGCAGGGGGATGCATCACCACCTCTTTTCTGCTCCAAGTGGCAGCAAACAAAGCAGCTCCTGCCCTGTGCTAATGACACCACTCTCTGCCTGCAGCAGCAGCCGAGGCCAGGGAAAGCCAATGTGGGGATGCTGCAGCCTGACTCTGCTCAGCAGAGGTGAGTGCCTCCCTCCTGCATTGCCTTCACGAGTCTGTGCATGCTTCTGATCTCTTCTCCTCCTAAATGACCAGCTATTCTCAAATCTACTTAATATATGAGGACAGAAAGCTTAACCCAGTCCAGCCAAACTCCTCCATGGCTGCTTCTTGGTGGGTGGGTTGCCCTGGGTCTCCTCCAGATGTTCCCTGGTGCTCCTGGAGAAAGCTGGGGTCTGCAGAGTAAAGCCAACATACTCTTCCCTTCCTTGCGTAGGCAGGAGGAGGTGATGTCATCCAGTGACGATGAGCCACTGCATCCTGGGGACACGTTAGCAGTGGATGTCCCTGCACAGAAACCTCAACCAACCTACAAGAAGTCCCTCCGGCTCTCCTCCGAACAAATCGTATGTACTTGACTCCTCCTTCACTGCCTACTTCCTTGTGTAGGGGTAAAACAACCCTTAAACAGGAATTTCTCTACTCTTGACCTTGTGTTTTTATATGACATCCATGTATTTTGCCCTGGGTGGCCACCCTGTAGAGGCTTGGGGTCTCCGGTCTGGACAGGTGGCAGTCTGGTCTCTGGCAAGCCTTGTATTGATGTGAATCAGTGCTGGTGTACCACTTTTTTGTTTCCCCTCTGCCACAGGGAAGGCTGAATCTGCAGGATGGCCCCAACGAGGTGGCATTCAGTGTGACAACTCAGTACCAGGGCACGTGCCGCTGTGAGGCCACCATCTACCTGTGGAACTGGGATGACAAGGTGGTGATCTCGGACATCGATGGCACCATCACCAAGTAAAGAGCCTTTCTTCCACCCCACATCCCTGCTCCTCCTCCCTGTTAGGGGAAATTGTCCTTTCGAGGCTTGCATAAACAGCTAGGAGAGATCGCAAACCACATCATCTTCTGAATACTCGCTAGGTTGGATCAACCTAATGTGGTCTCCTTTCCTTCTAGGTCAGATGCTCTAGGGCACATCTTGCCACATCTGGGCAAAGACTGGACTCATCATGGGATTGCCAAGCTCTTCCACAAAATCCACCTGTAGGTATTGGATCAACTGAGGCCAAGGGGAAGTGGGAGGGTGGTGGAGGAGAGGCTAGGTGGGAACCAGTCAAGGCTCCCTAGTTGCTGTCCCTGGCACCTGTGGCCACTAAGAGGCACTGTGGGCCTGCAGATGGCTTAAACCGGCCTTGGGGGACACACATGGGGCTTCCACTCCCCAGGGGGCTGTGGGTGTGCTTCTGCGGGGCTGGGGCTGTCCTTGCTGGCACCCCTAATCCCTCAGGAGCCTCATACCCCCTCTGCCTGAGGTGCCCATCCTGGCTGGCTGCCTGGGGGTCTGCAGGGACTGTGTCCACCTCCCCACAAGCTATATGCAGCCTGGTCTGGTAGACGTGCTGGCCTGGGAGTCCTATCCTGGTATCAAGTGGCAAAGGGTGCTTTGCAGCTGGGATGGGCATGTGGCTGCTGGGAGGGACCTGGAGGGAGTGGTACAGGGTACCCCTCCAGTGCAGCTCCCCAGTAGCCTCAGAGAATTCCCTGTGCTCTCTTTAGGAATGGCTACAGGTTCCTCTACTGCTCAGCCAGAGCGATCGGCATGGCACACATCACCAAAGGCTACCTCAAATGGGTCAACGAGCAAGGCTGTGCCCTCCCCAGGGGCCCTATCCTGCTTGCCCCCAGCAGCCTCTTCTCTGCCTTCCACAGGTACTATGTCCTCTCCTCCTTCCCAGCCCTGCACCTCCTGTGTCCCTGGGGACAGCACCCCCCTTCCCCAGCTCCATGCTGAGGGATGTCCCAGCCTTAAACTGCTTCTGGCCTCCTTGGTACAGGATGCCTTTCATGGGAGGCAGCAGAACTGCCTACCCTCCCTGCAGCTTCATGGTGATGTGCAAAACATCTTTTGCCCTTCAAATCGCTTGAGTCCCGGACAGCTTCCCGCAGTCCTGGCCAACTGATGCCATGCTGACCTCTGCTCCCTGTGTCTTGTTCTGCAGGGAGGTTATTGAGAAGAAGCCAGAGGTGTTCAAGATTGCCTGCTTGATGGACATCCGAAATATCTTTGCCACAAAGATGCCCTTCTATGCAGCCTTTGGGAACAAAGCAAGTGTGAGTGGGTCTCCTGGGGAGGAGGGAGGGCTCAGGCTGAGGTGATGGGGGTGGTGGTGGTGCCTTCCTGCAGATCTCACTTTGCTGGCCTTACTTGGGCAGGATGTCTACGCTTACAAGCAAGTGGGTCTGCCAGAGAGCCGCATGTTCACGGTCAACCCCAAGGGAGAGCTGATGCAGGAGCTCTCCAAGAACCACACGTCAACGTAAGCAACTTGCTTGTTCCTCAGCATCTTTGGATTAACCTGGGTTTAACCCAGAGAAGCACCTCATGGGGTAGAAAGCCTAACAAACCCCCAGTGACCCAAATGCAATTTCTTTCATAGGTACGAGCGGCTGTCGGAGCTGGTGGAGCTGATCTTCCCTCCCCTGGGACAGAGTGGGACCATTGCTCTGGCGTGTCCAGAGTACAGCCACTTTGCCTACTGGAGACCTCCACTGCCTGCTGTTGACTTGGATGCCTTCTCCTGACTCAGGGTTCTCCTGTGCATCCTCTGCCAGGACTGGATGCTCCAGATTAATTTCCTTCTCCCTGTGTGCTGCTCAGGCATTTTGTACATATTAATGGGTCATGTTCTGTTCTAGAAATGCCCCTTCTCAAGGGCCAGTGGGGCAGGTAAGAGGGAGCTCTGACTCTACAAAAACTCCACTGACTAAATGGACATTCCTATAAGTGAGGTCTCTTTTTGATGTTCTTAACACCTTTAAAGCCTGCCTTTTTTTAAGGTGGTGGTGAGTTACTGTCTTATTTATTGATGAGCCTTTGGCATAGCTATTGCTACCTCCAGTATGACCAGTATTCCCAGATGGTCCAGCTACCTCCAGTGTGGTAGCTGGTGGAGTGAAGCTGTCCTGTAGTTTAACAACTTGTTAAGGTAAATGGAAGCTGTGAGGTTTAAAGTGTTCTTCACTAATAGCAATAATTAATAAATTGTGCCTTAATCCAGGCTGCCTCTTGTTTGCTGTAGCCTTGTCTGTGGAAGTAGGAGCCAGACTCCATGTCCTTTTACAAATGTGGTTGGGTTTATTCTGCTGGGTTGGGGCTTGACCATCTTCTCCCCATGCTGTGTGGGGGACTTATCTGAACCCTGGGTACCAGCATTGCTGTGGGTTCAGCCAGGCTCGTGCCCCTGCTCTGGGAGCTTTTGGCTGTAAATAGAGAAAATAAACCAGGCAGGAGCACTGCTGGGCTCCTTCCTCTGGTCTGGCATCCACCTTCTCCTTCCCTGACCACTATGTGCAAGTGTAAATCATCTCCTGCTCTAACTTTGACTCCCTTTCTTAACCCAATCCTGGCGTTATGCTGCTTTTCTCCAAGCCACACAAGTATTTGATCCTGGAAACCTCAGCAAGAAATACTTTATTTTTTTCCTTTCCAGTACAAACAATTCTTTCAGCTTTTAAAATCTGAACAAATGTACAAGGTTTTAAAAACAATAAAACACAGCCTTTTAACAAGATCAGTTATCAACTGCCTCGGAAAGCTGCCCATGTGAGGAGAACTACATGGGCACCATCTCCTTCCTTCTCTGCAAGCAAAAAATAAAAATGCCCTATTTTATACAAACTTCCTTTCACTCTTTAAACATGAATAGCTGAGAACTATCCATAGCTTCAAGTGACTAGTCAGGTACAGTCCAAGTATAGCACCATTTTCTGGAAGGTCAGGCTTCTTCCTTGTCCTTGATCAGGCCAGAACGGGCTCCCTCCATGCTGGAGGAAGTGGTTGTTGTTCAGCTGCTCTAACCCAGTCCTGGCCTGGGATGGGGTGAGTCTGGCCCTTGGCTTAATTTTCTCTTTGGTTGTTGCAGGCTTTTTTTTTTTTTTTTTTTTTTTTTCCTCCCTCCCTGTTGTGAGAGGATGGGGAGGGGGCTTGGGGAGGATGCTCCTGTGGGGTGCAGGCTACCTTGGCCCATCACAAAGTATGGAGGGCTGGCTTGAGACTGTCTGTGGGGAAAAGAGAGGGGTTTTGTTGTCTAAAATCAGGTTTTGCAGGATGCCCAAAGGCAGCTGGAGCTTGCTCTTCAGCTGCAGAAGTGTCTCAGCAGCTGTAGTGTAGCTCTCTTTCAAAGAGCTCATCCAGTTTTTATGGGAGGGAATGGAGGAGAAAAGGCACCCAGATGCACCTCTGCTGGGACTTGCTGCTGCTTTGTGCTGGTCAGAGCATGGAGCTGCTCCTTTGCAGAGCAGGGGGGAGGACCTGGTGAGGGTGACAGGCATGAGGTGGGAGATGAGGGCTAGCTGGTGTCAAAGGGTCCATGAGCTGCAACATTGAGCTGATAGAAAAATATGTTCCTCTGCTATAAAGTGCCAGAGCAACAGTAATTAAAGATGGAAACTCTTTAATTTCATCTTCATCCATTCTGGTACTGAAGTCTCTGTTGGCTGAGCAGTGGAGGACACCCATGCTTGGTGGATTTTGTGTGCAACAGCCACACAGTCCCGATGTCTGCTCCATAGGGCAAGGCTGGAGTTGCTGAGGAACATGTACAACCTTCTCCAGCCTGTGAGTTCATGGGAAACTAGAGTAGTGTGGTAAATAGCTTTTTCATTTCCAGTCTGAGCTGAGGTGAGGTCTCAGGGTCTTCTGAAAGGTGCCCTGCCTCCTGCTCCCTGGTGCTCCATGTTGGTGTGGGTCCCTGGGGCTGCTGGCATCCTAATGCGAGAAGGACACAGGCTCCTGCTCCTGTGCTGCCGGACAGGGACAGCCTCGAGCTCACATCCTGCTCTGGGATGAGTGAGGGAAACCACATTCACAGTTTAAGCAATAAAACAGGAGAGAGTGAGAGCTGTTCCACACCCATCCTGGTCTCTTTGGGGAAGACACAAATTTTCCATAACCCTCTGTATCAGTCCCAGGTGTAACCAGCGAGCACCATGAAGGGTGATGGCAAAGCATAGCAGCCTTGAGGGACCATGGGGTCCTCCCCCAAATGCTGCTGTAGTGGGGTTTTAGCTGCTCAGCGTGGCTCTTCAAAATACAGCACAGGATGTGGGGGCAGCAAAATGAAACGGCAATCAGATGAGCCCCGTGACAGTGGATTGTTCAAAAAAAATACATATACATATGCTATATATATTTTTATATATATAAGCATATGTGTGTTTTCCTAATGCATATCCTCATATGCTCCATAAGGCATCTGTGTTTGTGTGAAGGAGTGAGAAGGATAAATGGATTTACCATACATGAGGAGAGCTGCTGTCTTGGAGAGGGGAGGGCAGATCCCAGGAGGATGTGTGAATACGTGTGTTCTTAGAAATCCATAACTCCTGTGGTGAGTTTTGTTCCCTGTAAGGAGCCCTGGCTCTGCTCAGTCCCTGGATTAAGACGCAGGTGGTCTTTAGGTCAGAGAAACTATGCCTCAACTGACAACTACAGGGTTTTCTTCTTCAAGAAGTGATAAATCCACAAAAATAAAATTAAAAAAGCCAACATTCTCGCCTCTAGCTTCCTCTAGAAGTGTCCTTCTGGGGTCATCAACCCAGGAGCCAAAGCAACGCCCCCAGCCAGGAGGCAGAGACCCTGCTGCGCCAGGGTCAGGAGAACTGCTGGGCATCGAGAGGCAGAGTTACCAAAAAATGGGGCTGTCAAGATTTAAAAAAAAAAAAAGAGGGGGTTCGTAGCAGCTTTTAATTTATCTTTTCATTAAAAAAATTATCCTAAGAACTGCTGTCACATTGGAGTGAGTCTGTGTGATATAAGTTAACCCTGCCTTTCACAGGGAGAAGGAGGAGGAGGAAGCCGTGGCGGCACAGCTAATGCTGCTTCCCCTCTGCCTGCTCTTCCAAGTGCCCAACCTGCTCTGCCAGCTCAGAGACCTTAGCTTGACAGTCAAGCAGGTTGTCCTTCAGTCCCGTTATTTCCTGAGAGTGGGCAGCCAGGGTCCCATTCATGTGGTCCATGTAGTCCCACAGACTGCCCGTGTGTTTCTCCAGTTCGTCCCTGATGCCGTCCAGGCTCCCCGTGACGGCACCCAGCCTGCCGCAGACACTCTCCACCCGTGCCACCCGCTCATCAAAGTGAGCGATCTCCTGTTGCAGGTCATGGGCCACGCTCTTGCAGGAGCTCAGGTCACTGACGATCCTGGCTTTGAGTCGCTCCAAGTCTCCCTTGAGGTTCAGGACGCGCCGGTTGCTGAAGAAGAGCTGGGAGCCTTGGTCGTTGATTTTCTCCTGGATGGAGTGGACCTCATCCTCGATCTTCCGCTCATGCTCATCCAGCGAGGAGTTGACATGTGTCATGGTGTCCGAGTACTGGGAGACGGAGTCCTTGAGCCCTGTCAGAGACTTGCTCACGGTGTTCAGGTTGATCTTTAGCAAGGTGATCTCCCCTTGCAAAGCCCCCGATGCTTCCTCCTCAATTCGCCGCTGGATCTCCAGGATGGTGGCATTCAGCTTGCGCAGGAGGTCATAATTGCTGTCCATCCGGAGGAGCAGGTCCTGGTTCTTGTTTTGGCAGTCTTCAATCTCTGTCCGGAAAGTCTCCACATCTTTGGAGGCAGAGGTGCAGCCCAGGGAACAAGTGCTCTCCAGCGTGATGAGGCGATTCTGCAGCACCTCCAGCGTCTCGTCCGTGCGTTTCCTCATGCTGGCGAGCTCCCCCTCCAGCACAGGCACCACTGCTCCATCCATTCCCATGGGAGAACTAATATTGTTCAGCTCCCCCATGATGGTCATGAACCTGTCCTCCAAGGTCTGCATTTTGTCTTCAAAGGCCGTCCTCATGCCATCCACCTCTGCCACCACCGTGTCCCTCATGCTGTCCTCTATACCAGAGCAGCAGCTCCCTGTTTCTCTCTCTGTAGCATTGAGTCTGGCTTCCAGGTCCTCAAAGCGCCCTTCAAAAAGGTTCCCTAGGGTGACAGTGGAGATTTCTCCATCCAGCCGTGAGTGTAAGTTCTTCTGGGACTCAGAGATGCTGTGAAGGCCTTTCTCAAGGATGTTCATGCGATCAGTGAGGTAGTCCAGGTTGCTGCAGCAGCTTTCCACCACTGTCAGCCCTTGGATCTGGGTCTCCAGCTGGGAGATCTCTTTCTTGATCTCTAGCTCCTTCCCATCCAGTGTCTGCTGCAGCCGCAGGTTGGCAGCTTTCTCCTCCTCGCACTGCTGCCGCACCTCCTGGATCCGGAAATCGCACGTGGTCTGGATCTTCCCCAGCTTCTTCTCGAAGCCGTCGAGCAGCTCTCCGCGCAGGTTGCTGAGCCGCGTGTCCACGTACTCCTCCAGCAGATCGATGGAGGTGAGGGGCGAGGGCCGGGCCGACTCCAGGAGATGCTTGATCTGACCGTCATGGTCCAGGACCATGCCACGAACCTCATGCAGCAAATCTGCCTTGGTTTTCAGCACGTCGCTCACCTCCGTCATTTTGGTCAAGATCTCCCCCACAGGGGGGTACGTGGGGATGTCGGCTTTGTCCGCCACATCCACCAGACCATCAGGAAGGATGCCAAAGCCCACCGTCGAGTCAG